AGTTGTGGCTCGCGGGCTCTAGAGCACAGGCTCAGTAGTTGTGGTGCATGGGCCTTAGTTGCTCTGTGGCATGTGGGATCTTCCTGGACCAGGGATTGAACCCATGTCCCCCTGCATTGGCAGGAGGATTCTTTAAGGGAAGTCCTTAAACGACCTGATCTTAAGACTGTATAGGGACTTCCCTGGTGGTGCAGTGGATAAGACTCTGCACTCCCAATGCAGGGTGCCCGGGTTCAACATGCATGCCGCAAATGAGAGTTCACATACCACAACTAAGGAGCCCGCGTGCCGCAACTAAGACCTGGTGCAACCAAATAAATAATAAATAAATAAATATTTTTTAAAAAAAGAAAGACTATAAAGCTACAGCATGGGCCAAATTAGCCTGCAGCCTATTTTTGTAAGGCCCATAAGCTACAATGCTTTTTATGTTTTTAAATGGCTGAAAAAAGAAGCAAGGAAAGTATACACACTAATATGTATAAAATGGATAACTAATAAGAACCTGCTGTATAAAAAAATAAATAAAATTCTACAATTCAAAAAAAAAAAGTATACAACAGGAATTATATGTAGCCCACCCTTAACAGAAGCAGCTTGCTAACTCTTGAGCTACAGTAATCAAGACACTATGGTATTGGTACAAAGACACATAGATCAATGAAGCAGAATAGAGAGTCCATAAATAGATTCACACATATATGGTCAATTAATTCTTGACAAAGGTATCAAAGTAATTGAATGGAAAAAAGATAATCTTTTCAACAAATTGTACTGGACCAGTTAGACAACCATATGCAGAAAAAAAAAAATCTCAACCTATGCTGGGAAATAATTTTCCATGGATTTCTCACGTATCTGCACATCTTAAGAGTTAGACACTAACTGCCCTTTTGTTCCAGACTGTCTTTTCAAGGATGTTTTGTCCATGAAGCAGCCTAGGGATAGTGTCTACCTTCAGAGCAAAGGGTAAATTTGTTTACCATCCACATAAAAAAGATAATGTATTGCTCTGGGGCAAAGGTTGAGCAGGTTTGCTTACAGTCCTTTATAAAAGACTGATGTTCCCTGGGACTTCCCTGGTGGTCCAGTGGCTAAGACCCCATGCTCCCAATGCAGGGGGCCCGGGTTCGATCCTTGGTCAGGGAACTAGATCCCACATGTCGCAACTGAAGATCCTGTAAGCCACAACTAAGACCCGGCGTAGCCAAATAAATTAAAAAAAAAAAGATTGATGTTCCTTAAACTTGGGGTTCCTCGGTGGTCATACAAACCCACTGTGTGTACCTGTTTGTACCTTATCTACCTGGGCCCTTTGGCATAGCCCCTGTGGGACTTATGGGACAAGGGGAACCAATACAAACATGAAACTCATGTTTGCTGTGCTCTGAGTCACAAAGTTCTTTGTCTCTGTTTTAAGAGTCTTAAGTATTTTGCCAGCACCCACTGAAACTGTGGAAGCGTAACCTATTAGCTTGTAAGTGGGATAAAATCTTATATTCTTTGTTGCTCTTGACAACTCATACCTTGCATCATATACAAAAATTAACTTGAAATGAATCACAGACCTAAAAGTATAATCACAGACCTATAACATAAAACTATAAAACTTCCAGAAGAAAACAGAAATTTTTAGGTCACTGAGTTAGACAAAGATTTCTTAGATAGGACAAAGATTTGTCCTTAGATAGGACAAAGATTTCTTAGATAGGACAAAAAAGCATGGCTCATAAAAAAAATAATAAATTTGATTTCATCAAAATTAAAAACTTTTGCTCTTCAGAAAACACTGATAGGATTTTTAGGGCAGTAAAACTATTCCGAATGTTAGTATGATGATGGATACATGTCATTATGCATTTGTCAAAACCTACAGAATGTACAACACCAAGTGTGAACTCTAACATAAACTGCGGACTTCGATGAGAATGATGTGTCAACGTAACAGATGTGTCTCTGGTGAGAGCAGTTGGTAGTGCAGGAGGCCGTGTGTGGTGGGGGTCAGGGGAGGATGGGATATATGGAAACTCTCTGTACTTTCCATTCAATTTTGTTGTAAACCAAAAACTGCTCTAAAAAATAAAGTCTATTTTTTTTTTTTTTAAAAAAAAGGGCAAGGGAACATTCCTGCACTGTTGGTGGGAATGTAAATTGATACAGCCACTATGGAGAAGAGTTCCTTAAAAAACTAAAAATAGAACTACCATATGACCCAGCAATCCCACTACTGGGTATATACCCTGAGAAAACCATAATTCAAAAAGAGTCATGTACCACAGTGTTCATTGCAGCACTATTTACAATAGCCAGGACATGGAAGCAACCCAAATGTCCATCGACAGATGAATAGATAAAGAAGATGTGGCACATATATACAATATATATATACAATATATATATTTTATGGCTGAATATATATATTCAGCCATAAAAAGGAACGAAATTGAGTTATTTGTAATGAGGTGGATGGACCTAGAGTCTGTCATACAGAGTGAAGTAAGTCAGAAAGAGAAAAACAAATACCATATGCTAACACATATATATGGAATCTTAAAAAAACGGTACTGATGAACCTAGCGGCAGGGCAGGTATAAAGACGCAGATGTAGAGAACGGACTTGAGGACACAGAGGGGAAGGGGAAGCTGGGATGAAGTGAGAGAGTAGCACTGACATATATACACTACCAAATGTAAAATGGATGGCTAGTGGGAAGCAGCCACATAGCACAGGGAGATCAGCTTGATGCTTTGTGTCCACCTCGAGGGGTGGGATAGGGAGGGTGGGAGGGAGGCTCAAGAGGGAGGGGATATGGGGATATATGTATACATATAGCTGATTCACTTTGTTGTACAGCAGAAACTAACACAACATTGTGAAACAATTATACTCCAATAAAGATATTAAAAAAAAAACAGGGGCAAGGGATCTCAATAGACATATCTACAAAGAAGATATACAAATGGCCAATAAACACATGCAAGATGCTCAACATCATACAAAACAAAACCACAATGTGATACAGCCTTGTACCCACTAAGATGGCTATAAACAAAAAAAGGGAAAATAATAAGAGTTGACAAGGATGTAGAAAAATTGGAACCCTCATACATTGCTGGTGGGAATGTAGAATGGGGCAGACACTGTGGAAAACAATCTGTTAGTTCCTCAAAAAGCTAAACATAGATCTTGCAATCCACTATATACCAAGAAAATTGAAAATATATGTCCACGTAAAAACTTGTACATGAATGTTCACAGCAGCATTATTCATAATAGCCAAGATATAGAAAAACCCCAAATGTCTAGCAACTGATGAAAAGATAAACAAAATGAGGTATATTCATACAATGGAAGGTTACTCAGCCATAAAAAAGGAATGAAGTACTGACACATGCTACAACATGGATGAATCTTGAAAACATTCTGTAAGTGAAAGAGCTAGTCACAAGAAACCATTACGTTAAACGTCCAGCATAGGAAATCCATAGAGATAACAAGTTCATTAGTTGTTGCCAGGGGCTTGAGGGAGTGGGGAGCAATTGCTAATGGGTATGGAGTTTCTTTTTGGGGTAATGAAAATGTTCTATATTCGTGTTGATGGCTGCACAAATCTGTGAATATACTAGAACCATTGAGTATTTTAAATTGGTGGATTTTATAGTATGTGAGTTATATATCAATAATGATGTTTTAAAATGAAGATGAAGTAGGAAAACTGATCCTTTTCTATATAAGTAAGTAACTTTAAGAAAACCTGAATCACAGAAATGAGTTAGAAACAATAAACTGGGCAGTAATTGGACTTGCCGCAGGGGCTGGTAAAATGTTAATATTATCTAATCATTTTAGGCTACTTTACGTTTTGAAAGTATAATGTTAACAAGATCATATTATAAAAAAAGAATACCTATTTGTGTACTTTTGAGTTGTTATAACCTGCATGCATGTCTGAATATGTTTGTGTGTAGGTACACATATTCATATGTCTCATCATTGTCAAAGATGATGCTAAATGAGTCAGTTGCTGGATGACCTCTTAGCTTTTTCACACCCTGGGGGGCGGAGTTAGCTGTGTAGCTGCAGCTGTTGGTCACAAAGCCCAGGGTCCTATTTCTGGGTCAACCTCTCCACCATACAATCAGGTGACCCACAATTTGGTTCCAAGAACGCTCATCAACATTTTTCAAAGTTTGGCCAGCTGCAGATGGACTCAATTACCTGGAGCCTAGACTCAACATCCACTGATGGGCCTGGGAGTCCACTATTTTTTTTTTTTTTTTTTTGCCACATAATGCAGCTTGTGGAATCTCAGTTCCCCAACCAGGGACTGAACCTGGGCCACAGCAGTGAAAGCGCCGAATCCTAACCATTAGACCACCAGGAAACTCCCTGGGAATCTGCTATTTCAACAAGGCTCTCAGGAGATATAATCTGCACTCAGTTTTGGGAGCCCCAGCTCTGGGCACCTCTTCCTGGCTGATGTAGAGTAGCTGAGTTTGTCTTTGGTTTCACAGCCCTGTTCACATTCTTCCTGTTCACCAGGGTGAGAGTAGTGTGCCTCCCTATTTTTAACCACAATGGGATGTCACTGAGCCTGTTGCTGGTTCTACAGGCACAGTCTACTCGTAAGACTGCCTGATATTTCCATTCTATATGGGGTTTCTGCCTGTTGGAGGCCCTGATGTCTCATCAGAAGCTGCAGAAGCAGCAGACAACACATAGGTGGCTCTGCCCCTCGGCCTCATTCACAATATAGGACCTACACTGGAATCCTGGATCCTGGATTCTAGGCTCAGCTCTGTACTCTGTCCCACATTTGATGGGGGATGATGGGGAAGCCTATTAGGTCAATAATTTCCCAAGGTTGATGGAGGCTCAAGTGGTTTCCCAGTTATTGTACTTGAACGGGATGGGAAATGCACCTCTTATGAGGAAGCTCTTCTGTTTGTCGATGGGTCTCCCTGACCCTAGGACAGACAGCATTGTTAGGCCAACTCACCTGCTCATCTCCTCTTGACACATCCAGTTTGGCTCCTCCCAACATCTTTTGGATACACCTGGTTAAAATCCTTCAGTGGCTCCCCATTCCTTTTAGGGTCCAGACCACAACTCCTTCCATGACCTACTGTTCTTGGTGATCTTTGCAGCCTCATCTCCCCCACTGTCCCCCACTTTAGGATCTGTCATACAGATCTTGCAGTTCTCTCACCAGGCCAGGCTCTCTTGCAGTGCCCTACTCTTTTTCATGTAATTAACTCTTGTTCATCTCTCTGCTCTCCAGCATCATTTCCCTGACCTCCAAGTCTGGATCAGGTCTCTTGCTTATTCATGGTCCTAGCACTCAGGGCCTTTATTAAAAGTTGTCAACTTTGAAAAGTTACCCTTGAGCAATTAAGTATTCACGACTGTAAAGTTCATTAGAGCACCGCTCTGAATTTGCTCTCACTGCATCTCCAGCACGTAGCAAAGGGTCTGGCAGGTATTCAGTTGGATGGATTACTGGCTCCAGGAAGGCGGGCCGCAAACTGGGTGGAGTGTCGAGACCTCTGGGAATCGATAAAAGTAGATCCAGAGCAGCTACACCTATACGTCCTCAGAACTGGGGGCATCGGTCTGCGGGCCGGGTGCCCGGGGAATTCCCAGGCCAAGGACACGGTACAGTCCTGGCTGGCATCCGGCTGCCGAATTGGAGAGGGCCGCCCTTACTCCGTGCTTGGGAGGGCCTCGGTTTCCCTACTGGTTCCCCGCGGGGTGGGCCGAGAACTGCCCCTGAGGCCCCGGGGTAGACCCACTCCGGGGGCCGCCGCAGCTGCAGAAGTCTGAGGGGCCGGGCCGGGTGAGGCCGCCGCGCCCGCCGAGGGCGCTCCAGACCAGTCTTCTTGAGCAGTCGCTCGCAGCTGCGGCCCCTCTAGCTGCGGGGAGGTGGAGCAGTGCGTGTACGGAAGGCGGTGGGCGGGTCCGGCCCTCAGCGGCGGAGGGCGCCATGGTGGGTGGCGAGGCGGCTGCAGCTGTGGAGGAGCTGGTTTCTGGTGTGCGGCAGGCGACCGACTTCGCTGAGCAGTTCCGCTCCTACTCGGAGAGCGAGAAGCAATGGAAGGCCCGCATGGAATTCATCCTGCGCCACCTGCCTGATTACCGCGACCCGCCAGACGGCGGCGGCCGCCTGGACCAGCTGCTGTCCCTCTCCATGGTCTGGGCCAATCACCTCTTCCTGGGTTGCAGGTGCGGACCCCTGGCGGCTGGCTGACCCTGTCCCGATCCGCAGCCCTCCCCCAGGGCTGACCCCTGCCCAAGGCTGACCCTGCCCCCAAACTCCAACTGTACTAGAAAGGCCTAAGGCAGGTTTCCACCCTAGCCAATCCTTTGGAAAGATACTTAATCTCTCTGAGCTTTAGTTTCCTCATCTGGAAAATTAGTTGTGATGACTACAGTCTTAAAGGGTGAAAAGCACTTAGCACAGGCTGTCATCTCTCAAGAGCTCTATACATGCTAGGCGTTCGATTTGCCATTGTTATTTATATTATTATTATTACTCCAAACTGTCACCTTTGCAGAGGGCATTTTAAGCTCATTAGCTCCTTTCTTCCACATGGCAAACGTGCAGGGACAGAAACTCAGACCTCCAGTTTACATCTTCGAAGCTGAGAGAGGGAAAGAGACATACCTAGGGTCATGCAGCATCTAGCAGGATTGGTGGATTTTACCATTTATGGCAGGATGTAGTCTGCGGCCCTTGTCTTTTTCTCCCCGTGTCCTAGTCTGCTGGACCCTGTAGCAAGAAGCAGTCTTTGCCTCTCTGCCTTTCCTTTTATCAAAATAACAAATGCCTTCAAGGGACTTTTTGAAGTGGCGCTCCCTCTGCCACTCCATGAAGCAGGTGGCAAATCTTGAGGCTCCCACATCCTTTTATTTAGCATTTCCTGAAATTGTGTTAGGATAACGAGATGACTTGGCTTAGTCCTGGTTTCTGTGCTCCTTATGGCTGTCTGGTCACATGGTCCCTCCAGCCCTAAGCTGCTTGGTGGTGTTTTCAGATTTGGGGAGTTATTAGAACTGGATATGGGGAAGCAGTGCCTGCTGTATCCCTCCCTTTTCTCTGACTTCCAGGTTCCTCTAGTAAATTCTGGTTAACAGGATCCAAGATTAGGCAAATGTCAGAAAATTGGACAAATGAACAAATAATGTTATTCCGTTAGACCAATACTCCACATGTTCAAAAAAATAAAAAAGAATTTTGGCCCTCATATCATATCCGTGAATATATACTGCCAGAGGTACACTGCCTCTATTTTTGTAAGTCTTGTTTGTTTTGTAAATCTTAAAACACCTGCTCCATTGGCATCCCTAGTGCTGCTTCTGTATCCACATGCGCAAGAACTATTTTCTGACTTGATGCTGAACATCTATCAGTTTCCCCAGTAGTATCAAATCGTTCCTCTGAGAGTTGAGTTTATAGTCCAGCTACCTGCAATTTCTTTTTAGCCCACAGTGACAATAATTCTTCCACGGTTTTTATCTTACTACTTTTTATCGTGCAGTTACAACAAAGACCTTTTAGACAAGGTGATGGAAATGGCTGATGGGATTGAAGTGGAAGACCTGCCACAATTTACTAACAGAAGTGAATTAATGAAAAAGGTAAACAGGATTTCCAAGTGCATTTGAAATGGTATAGAGCTAACGGCCCCTGCCTTTATGATGATGTATTAGAGTATATTGTTTTCTGAATGCTCTTGTTTACTACCCCAATCTAAGCCGTTTCATTTTATTTCTCTGTAATTGGTATAAGCCTTTTCATAACTAGAGAACAACTCAGTAGATAAATTATGCATTGTTGGTAGAGTAACACATAAACTCAACCTCTTCAGTTCCTTTAGGAAAATTCTGTTTTGAGCTTTTTGCTTGAATTTTAAGAAAATGTTGGTTAGAGTGCTACAGTTTCCCACTTATTAAAAAATCTTGTTGGTAACATTAACTCAACCTTACCCCAGTCGTTGAGGACCCCACCAGACCTGTTTGGACCCTCTGACTTGCTGATGGAAATGTAGATGGAGTAATATCGTCATAGCTTTTCCCTATTCTGCCAGGCTTGTTCTGATCTGAGGCTGTGGATTTTTTACATGGTGAGCTGCTGCCCGTCAAGCCTTGAATCTGGGTCCTTTGGCTGGGGCCATGGAGAGTGTGGCAGAAGGAAGCTCAGAGGATGGGGCTGGGCGTCCCAACTGCTTTTCACAATCTCCCAAGATATGGTTTTTCTCATTTGCCCTGGTCTCCTCAGGCAACAAAATTAATTGCTTCCTCATCTCCCATAGTTTATTTCTTTAGCACTTTACCCAGACCTTTTTAAGAGCAGATTGTAAGCTTCTTGAGGGAAGAGATGGTGCTTAAGATATTAGTCCTTCTAATTCCAAAACCTAGTATAGGCATAATCCAGAGAAGATGCTCAGAAAATGCTTACAAAATTGACCAAAGCAAAAGAGTAAAGACTGCTGGCCTCTCTTATAGTTCTATTGTCAGAAACATAGGTAAGCCCTTGCTTCACCCTAGTTGGTTCTTTTTTTTTGGGAAGCTGGGCATATAAAAAGGTTCCCTTTAGGGCTTCCCTGGTGGCGCAGTGGTTGAGAGTCCGCCTGCCGATGCAGGGGACACGGGTTCGTGCCCCGGTCCGGGAGGATCCCACATGCCGTGGAGCGGCTGGGCCCGCGAGCCATGGCCGCTGAGCCTGCGCGTCCGGAGCCTGTGCTCCGCAACGGGAGAGACCACAACAGTGAGAGGCCCGCGTACCGTAAAAAAAAAAAAAAAAAAAAAAAAAGGTTCCCTTTAGTGTGAGTGTCAGGAGCTAATCAAATCCTCAGCTGCCCAGAAAGTACTTCAGCCCCAAACAGCACACCCCGCATGATTTCAGATATTTTTCTTTAAAAAAGTATTGTTTTTTAATTGAACCTGGAATCAAAAGTTCAGGTTGTGTTCAAGGGCCTATTTTGTTTTTAAAATCTGTTAACAAGGCTGTTGTTTGTAGCCTGGGAGCCGTTGTGAATTGGGAGTTTGTGACTTTTTGGATTCTCTTATATAATATTTTTAAAAAACCTCTAGGAAGTCCTTCAGTATCCTAGCGGTGAGGTTCCTGGGGCCCAGGCATGGGGCGTCTAGATAATTTCCAGCCACCTGATTGCCCCCCATTCGTCAGGGCAGGCAGGGAATAGGATGAGCCTTTACTTCCTGACTGCTCATGGCCGATTCTTTCCTTGGCCTTTTGGTCTTAAGAGGTATTCTGCTCTCCGTAAGATCCATTTTCACATAAATTTTGTTATACTTCTCTCTTTCCAGTCATACTGGGATATTAGAGGTCAGAACACTTCACGATATTTGGGCTTCAGACTCCAGAAGAGACTAAGGAGGTTTTGTAATTAATATGCATGTCCCTAACATTATCCATAGGCTAGTGTGAAGAAGCATATGTATGTGTGTTGAGTTTCTAAACTGTTATAAACATTGTAAAGGGGTCTTGAACCTCAGAAATATAGGGAGCCCTGTCCTGGGATGTTCATTTTTGACACTTTAATTGCACAGTGTCAGTCTCCAGAGAAGAGTCCTCAGAAATGAACTTTGGCATTCCTGAAACCAGTTCTGCCATCAGACTAATTAATGATTGGCACCTGGCTACCTGGAAGAAGCCTACAGGGAGCCTGTATTTCTATAGCGCTTGTTGATTATATATGTTTGAACTTCCTTCAAATAAGACTTATGTTTTCTTAGTAACCAAGTTTTAGACTGTTGATGTCACTGAAAATGAAGCTAAGTTGATCCTGAAAAGTGAGATACTTAGAGGATGTGTAGAGTTTTGCCAGTTGGTAAGAGTCTTTTAGATAAGCCTGTCCTGAGAACAAGTCATCTGATCTCTGTGCCGTGACAGAATTGTGTTGTGTTGAAGGCTGTCCCTTCTCTTTTGAAGGCTACCCTGAGAGCCCACTGGAAAGAGAGCCCTGGGAGCTTTGCAGCAGTTTTTTTTTGTCTTCTTGCCTGAGGTTTTTGCATGTAATAGATAGAGGCTGGCAAACATTAAGCAACATTGCCAGGCCAGAAACAAAAAACAAAAACAAAAAAACTTTGATGTTGAGCCATGCACCTGAAAAGGTCAGTTATAGTTCTTTGATCCTTAGCTCTAAAATTATTTTACTTGGGTTTTGAAGCTAGCTAGCAAGTGGAAATGAATCGCCTGGCATTATTGGTATCCTGAGACTGAATAGTGAAGATAACTTAGGGACATAAGTTCTTTAAAGTAAGATTTTAAAAATACTTTATGGTTATTCTGCAGTTTTAAGGCCAGTACACCTCTGTGGTCTGTCCAACTCTCTTTTTTTTTGGCAGGGGAAGGGGGATGTGGAATCTGAGAAAAGAAATGAGCATTGGTCTCTGACAGGTGGTATTTGTCAGATATTTGCAGTGTATGTTTTTTTTTGAAAAAGGGGGATTCAGACAAATATATTGAACAGTCTAAGTTATCTAACAGCCGTCCCTAGGTACCTACTAGCAGACTTTGTGATTAACCAACCAGCTTTACCCATTAATGAGCAATAATTAACAAAGAGCAGCAGCTCACTCAGGAATGATGTTATTACTGTCAGAGTTTATATTTCCAAGGCATTGTCTTAAGGAGAAAGAGGAGTGATTGACTAAGAAGTTATCATTATTGGCTCAAAAAATCTGTCCACTTAATTCCTTCATTTTTCCTAAAAACATTTTTTTTAATAAATTTATTTTTATTTATTTTTGGCTGCGTTGAGTCTTCGTTGCCGCGCGCAGGCTTTCTCTAGTTGCGGCAAGCAGAGGCTACTCTCCATTGTGGTGCGTGGGCTTCTAATTGCGG